ACAAGAAATATATAGACAATTGCAAGCATGGCGCCACAAGTGGTGCCCCATGCGTGCAAGCGCGTGCAACGCGCGGGTGAACGTAGCTTTGGCAAGCTCGTAATCGCACGGGCGTGCCTGCTCGGCAGAGACATGGCGGGCGGCCAGTCGCCCAGCTTGCAATCGTCTGTATACTTCTGCTTTGTGAAGTAAGTTGAAATATTGTTTGACACATATTGCACGGACTCTATCGTAAAAAATAAAGCAAAAGTTTGTCAGCATTAAAAAAACAAAAAAAAAAAAAACAAAAAAACAGCGGCTTCGGGAGTCAAGGTGCTCCCGAGAGATGAGCGAGGCGGGGAGGAAAGAGAGAGAGAAGGGTATTGGAGAACCGGAGCAAAAACGCCCAAACGGAAACCGAAACTAACTTGACCGGAAACGGAATCACATTATACTTAATAGCGCCCGCTAGGAGCGCTACCTGTAACTTGTCTATCTGGGCCGCTGGGGCCTATGGCAGTGTCCGCTCTTTACCTTGTGTATATTACTCTATGAGGATAGTGGGTGGACCTCAAGGCAGTTAGCATTGAGGACTGCCCACCATCCTTCCAATCCGAGCCGATCAGAGCTCGGCGTACCGATGCCACTGCAACTTCTGTGCATGAAACGGACAACTTGCAATTCGCATAACAGAAACAATTCGTGAAAGGGGCCACACAGGGACCCCTTATACGTCAAAAAAAGAAAAAAGAAAACGTTTTTGTGTCAGGAAGGAACCTAAAACGATTTATTGAAACGCGTAATTACTACCGTTTGGTAAATATGATTTTCTCTTTAATTAGTCGATTCCGTACTACGATACGTACCATTCCACTATCTTCCGCCTTGGCACGGATAACATGAAATGGGACATATTTACGGCATGGCGCCTCTTTCAGACGCCCTGCCATGCCTTCCCAGCACTTACACGTTCAACGCTGACGAGACGCCGAAGGGTTATATAAACGACGACGACGACGACGACGACGACGACGACGACGACGACGACGACGACGACGACGGCGGCGGCGGCGGCGGCGGCGGCGGCGGGCGGCGGCGGCGGCGGCGGCGGCGGCGGCGGCGGCGGCGGCGGCGGGCGCGGCGGCGGCGGCGGCGGCGGCGGCGGCGGCGGCGGCGGCGGCGGCGGCGGCGGCGGGCGGCGGCGGCGGCGGCGGCGGCGGCGGCGGCGGCGGCGGCGGCGGCGGCGGCGGCGGCGGCGGCGGCGGCGGCGGCGGCGGCGGCGGCGGCGGCGGCGGCGCGGCGGCGGCGGCGGGCGGCGGCGGCGGCGGCGGCGGCGGCGGCGGGCGGCGGCGGCGGCGGCGGCGGCGGCGGCGGCGGCGGCGGCGGCGGCGGCGGCGGCGGCGGCGGCGGCGGCGGCGGCGGCGGCGGCGGCGGCGGCGGCGGCGGCGGCGGCGGCGGCGGGCGGCGGCGGCGGCGGCGGCGGCGGCGGCGGGCGGCGGCGGCGGCGGCGGCGGCGGCGGCGGCGGCGGGCGGCGGCGGCGGCGGCTGGCGGCGGCGGCGGCGGCGGGGCGGCGGCGGCGGCGGCGGCGGCGGCGGCGGCGGCGGCGGCGGCGGCGGCGGCGGCGGCGGCGGCGGCGGCGGCGGCGGCGGGCGGCGGCGGCGGCGGCGGCGGCGGCGGCGGCGGCGGCGGCGGCGGCGGCGGCGGCGGCGGCGGCGGCGGCGGCGGCGGCGGCGGCGGCGGCGGCGGCGGCGGCGGCGGCGGCGGCGGCGGCGGCGGCGGCGGCGGCGGCGGCGGCGGCGGCGGCGGCGGCGGCGGCGGCGGCGGCGGCGGCTGGCGGCGGCGGCGGCGGCGGCGGCGGCGGCGGCGGCGGCGGCGGCGGCGGCGGCGGCGGCGGCGGCGGCGGCGGCGGCGGCGGCGGCGGCGCGGCGGCGGCGGCGGCGGCGGCGGCGGCGGCGGCGGCGGCGGCGGGCGGCGGCGGCGGCGGCGGCGGCGGCGGCGGCGGCGGCGGCGGCGGCGGCGGCGGCGGCGGCGGCGGCGGCGGCGGCGGCGGCGGCGGCGGCGGCGGCGGCGGCGGGCGGCGGCGGCGGCGGGCGGCGGCGGCGGCGGCGGCGGCGGCGGCGGCGGCGGCGGCGGCGGGCGGCGGCGGCGGCGGCGGCGGCGGCGGCGGCGGCGGCGGGCGGCGGCGGCGGCGGCGGCGGCGGCGGCGGCGGCGGCGGCGGCGGCGGCGGCGGCGGCGGCGGCGGCGGCGGCGGCGGCGGCGGCGGCGGCGGCGGCGGCGGCGGCGGCGGCGGCGGCGGCGGCGGCGGCGGCGGCGGCGGCGGCGGCGGCGGCGGCGGCGGCGGCGGCGGCGGCGGGCGGCGGCGGCGGCGGCGGCGGGCGGCGGCGGCGGCGGCGGCGGCGGCGGCGGCGGCGGCGGCGGCGGCGGCGGCGGCGGCGGCGGCGGCGGCGGCGGCGGCGGCGGACGGCGGACGAACGACGAACAACAACAACAACAACAACAACAACAACAACAACAACAACAACATCAACATCATCATCATCATCATCATCATCATCATCATCATCATCATCATCATCATCATCATCATCATCATCATCAATCAATCAATCAATCAACGTTTATTATAGTGTCCAGGAACAACCTATCGGCCTTAGTGCTGGCGCACTTAAAAAAACAAGCAAAACACACACATGCAAACACAGTATATACACACGAGTGCAGAAGGGGAACGTAGTTCACCTGTCTGAGACTAAATAATAACTAAAAATAAATAATAATAGTAATAATAATAATAATAATAATAATCTGTTTATTGACATAACGCTTTAGGTATGTCAAATGACGGGTCCGTCTTACCCGCAATGGCTTGTAGGACTGGACCCAGCAAGTTCGCGCAGGCGAAAAAAAAAAGGAGTACACATAAATAAACAAACACGTAAACAAGGCTTCGACTAACCATCCTCCCAAGTCAAGTCAAAAACAGGTACGCATAAGCGAGAAAAAAAAGAAGAAAAAAAAAAAGAACACACATAGAAGCAAACATGCGATTATAAGCTTTGACGAACCAGCTAACCTCCCAATTCAAATCAAAACAACAACAGCACAATAATGAGCTTTCACAACCACAATAACGAAGCCCCCTTTTCAACTGTCCTTTGCCAGTAATGATGAAAATGTCTTTAGGAAGGGGTATTAAAAATATCTGAGACGCAAAACAACCGCATCCTTTTTCCATAGTGACCCATCTTTGTTCTTCATACCGAGGGGTAGCTTTCAGGAGTCGCAATGGTTAATGATGCGTTTTAAAATTTTAAATACAAGAGTGACGTAACACTACAGTTTCAGTATACAAAGTACGTAATCTTGGCATCTGCAAGTCTCTAAAAAAAATCTTCAATAGATGCAAAACTAGGGTTGGACGCCACACTTCTCAAAGTTCCTTTCAAAATGCTATCAATCATAAGACATTTTCACGGCATGGCCATGACATATTATATGGTCATGACATATATGAAATATTTGCGGCGTTTCAGATGCAACAATATTGCTCACCCCCTCCTTCCCCTGCCCCCATAGTACCGATACAGCTGGCCTTGGACCTGTGCTTGAAAAGTTGA